ATAAAATTGAAATTATGTTTCAAGGTTAGTATCCTTTTGACAAGGCAAGGATGAAGAGGGTATATCTATACTAATAAAAGGGTAATATGCTAATTAGGGCAGACATCTTCTGGACATCCATCCGAATGTCCATCCGGACATCCATCCGGACAAAGCCATAGCGGCTGCAAGGCCCAGAGCTCAGGCAGCCGCGAGCTCAGGCAACTGTAAGCCCAGGCGGCTGCGAGGCCTGGGGCTCACAGCAGCTTTGAGCCCTGGCAGCTGCGAGGCCTGGGGCTCACTGCAGCCGCAGCCTCAGGCAGCCATGGGCTCATGCAGCCATTAGCCCCGGCGGCTGCGAGGCCCAGGCAGCCATCACGGCCGGCAGCAGCTGGGTGATAGGGGTGGTGCCTTCCCCTGATCTGCCTGGTGGCCTCCCACAGAGGGAGGCCAGACTGTGGCTCCCCATGGGGAGTGGGCCTAAGCCGTCAGTAGGACATCCCCTGAGGGCTCCCAGACTGTGAAAGGGGGCAGGCCGGGCTGAGACCGCCCCCCCCCCCTCCGCACTGCAGTGCACGAATTTTCATGCACCGGGCCTCTAATATATATATATATATGACTGGTGCACACACAAGGCATTGCATTTACTGAGGTTACTTCTACACTATCTCTAGAATCTCTAGGTAGTTTCAACAAATGCAGCATAAAAACCCTGCTGCTACCTCCTACTCCTGATAATTAAACCAGGTAATTTCACATACCTCCCCCATCTCCACCATAACTGAGGCTTGTCCTGTCTTCGAAAGTAATGTTCCTAGACATTGCTTCTTCCCTTCCTCAGGCATTCGAAAAGTAATAATGTCTAATATTCTAGTATGACAATTCATAAACAGGTAGATAAAATTACAAGATAAAGACCAGCCTAAAAACTTAGTTTGCTTTTTGTTTTGTTTTTGTTTCCAAACACTGAGTAAGAAATATGATCAATGATATAATATTGAAGTACGGAAAATAAGGGATACAGAGCAAGAGTTGCTATGATCCAAAGCTTATCCTTAAATATTAACTATTCAAATGCCACCATAGACCACTCAGATGTTTTCCCTGGTCCAAATCTTCAATGTGACAGTCAACCCCCATTGCATTAGGAACCTACTCTACAGAAGTTAGGTTGGCTATATATTTGAGGATATAGAAAAAAAGAGAGGTTAACCATGTTTCTGATAAAGGAAAAAGGAACAGTTCTTAAGGGAAATGAAATCTGGAGCTCAGTTCTTTGGAGTCTTAACATAATATACCTTCCCCCAAATCAAGCTCAATATTAAAAGTCCAAACATGACTGTACCTAAAAGTACCTAGTGTTCCACCATCTATTACTTTTCCTATAGCTTTATAGTAACTTTTCCATTTGTAGTTGCATTAGAAGAGCACCTCTTTACCAGGAGCAAATGCTATCACTTACAGGTATTTTCTAGCACTAATATTACCCTGTCTTTCCCCAACTTTACATCTACTAACAAACAGCTGTGACTGATCACTTGTTACAAGGGAAACAAACCATAGCAGGTGAACCCCTATTCACAGCTAAGAGATATATTTTTGTGATGAGATGTATGTTGGTCTTCATGTTGCTAGTTTCAGCCTGCAAGGCATCACCAATATACACAGCACTCACTCATGACACCGCCTTCCTATCTCTGGTTACTTATTTCCCCAGAGTAGTAGCTGTTGTCAACATAAACTATTCCACCAAACCCCAAAAGTTTAAGTCAAGAAACCTGGATATCAGGCCCAGCTTTGCTACTTACTGACAGTGTGACCTTGACCAAGTTATTTAAATTTCCTGAACTTCAGCCTGTTCAGGTTCTTTATCCAAAAAGAAGATAATGAAATTACTGTTCTCAGGGGGCTATTAGGAAGACTAAATGAGATGATGGTGAAGCACACTACCAAAAAGTGAGAGGTATTCTGGGTTGAATGGAGCAGACTTTAGCTAACATATGAAGACTGGCACAGACCTCAGGCCCTTGAAGGTGATCCTACCTTGCTGATGGCATGAGCAGAAGCAAAAGCTGGAAATAAAATGAGGCTGGGTAAAGAGAGAAAGTTAAATTAGGTAGAGGAAGGAGGAATGAAATCAAATTGTGTGTGTGTGCGTGTATGTTGGAGGGGGTGGTAAAGTTGATGGTAAGATACAGTCCTAGAAGTATACCAAATACTACAGTCCAAATGCTTTAATGAGGTGGCTAACATTTAATTTACATTTTATAAAGGATGTTTTTTCCATATTTGTGGCCAAGTTTCAGTGAAAGATTTTTTTGTTAAGTAATTCTTTTAGTCCTATTTCCCCATATAAACATTCCCTCACACCAGATTTCATTTCAAGAATATTCAAGAGACCTATCAATTCAAACATGTGTGGGCACTAGACACACAAAGATGAAAGCAGGGCTGAATTTAGATGTATCAGTCATTACTTAAAACGAAAGGTGCCACTGAATTTCAACCAACTGTAGGAAGCAAAAGGGGAAGAGACACCAAAAGATCTACCCAAACATTAACAGTGAGTTGCCGCTGGATGATGGAATAAAAAATGACATTTTCTACTACGTTATACCTCTGTAAAATGGTCAGTCTGTAAATGTCCAAAGTTTCTCCTAGGATCCATTTGGTTTAAATGTAGACACAAAAGAACAAACACTACCCTCACAGCTGGGAACTTTTATTTGCTAACAGATTGGTACGGAATTTACTGCAATGAGGTTATGTTTATATACTTGTGATGGAAAATGTCTAATCATTTTCACTTTAAAACAGACCTTTAACACAGGCATGGACCTCAGAAATAATCCAAGGCAACATCTGCTCTTGAAAGATGCAAAAATGAAGAGCCAGAGAGTTGAAACGATTTGTTTACGATCACACAAATAGCAACAGCTTCAAGACTAAAACCCAGGTGTCTGGACTTTGCAACTCAGAGCTCCTTCCACTACACCATTTGTTTTGAATGATGCTTCTCGAAAGTCCACACTAACTGAAGAGCATCTATGGTGCTACAAGAAGACAGAGATGGATAAAACCTGGTCCCTGGACTCAGGGGAATCCGTTTTAAAATAAAAGGCAAATTGAAACATGTGTTCTGCTTTCAAAACGGAAAATCTTAGCAGCTTCTGCTGAAAGATACTATTTGATTCCCACCCCTCCACCACCGAATCCTGCATTCCGTCAGTTAACTTTCTGGTCCCACTCACAAGCTATCAATGCTCCACAATTTGGAAGAGAGAGAGACGGTTGGCGAATGGGAGTTATAATAAGTTCTCTAACCACCAATTACCCTTCAAAACTTAACCGTGCACTTCACTTCCCTTATGCATTTCTCTTGCCCTTCTCTAGCAATGCAGCCCCCCACACCTTTGAAAGGAGAGGAAATACACTTAACTTTTTTTTTAAGAACCTGTGATTTGGCTCCAGATTTGAGCGCTCCATGAAAACCATTCCAGACATCCACCTCCTCCTCCTCCTTTCACGGCATTCAGGTTTTTTCTGTCTGCTTCGACTTCCAGGGGCAGGTCTGCCATCGCCCTAAATAGAGTGGCATGGCCCCGAGGGCACCGAGCCTCCTTCCTGCAGCCCCACCATTGAAGGGGCTCTGCCAGGCGCCCAGGGGAGGTCATCCTCCCTCCCTTCAATTCCTGTTTATTCCTGCCGTCGAGACACCACTCCCAAGGCGAGTCCTCCCTCCAGCTGACGGACCTGTGCCTCCCAGACAGGCTCATTCAGAGAAAGGGACAGCAGAGAGGAACCCGGGGCACGCGTGAGGGTTGGCCCTTGAGGAGCAGACGAGCGAGCGCCAGATTCAAAGGCAGAACCGGGAGAGTCAAGGAACTGGCCTCCCGCACTCCGAGGTAAAACGCCACCTCCTTTAAAAACGGGAACGTTCTCCACAGCAACCTGCTAAGACAAAACCACTCACCTGCAAAGAGGCCACCAGCAGCACCACCCGCTCCTCAGAGCCGCCGCCGGGCAGGCAGCGCCGCCTAGGACTCATCCCTGTGGCCGGCATCAACGCTCTTTTCTAGCCCGGGCGCCAGAGGGGCAGGTCCTAGCGCTCTGCCCATTGGGGGGTTGAAATGTCACTCATTTACGGCCCCGCCTTACTCCCCAGGAACAGGTCGAGGTCTTTTCCGGTTTCCAAATCCCTGGGGTAGAAAGTGAGGTTCTGATTGGCTCACTGCGGAGACGAGCACACATCCGGACCAATGAAGAGCTGACGTCGACGCCGGTGGGCGGGCTTGGGTCTGGAAAAATAGAGAAGCCGAACCCGCGATAGAAAAGCCTCAGTCCTGGGGAGGTCTTGACGGGCTGAGCTGCTAGAGAGAGTTTCGCGTCGTAAGGAAAGCAAGTACCTGCCCATGTACGGAAGTGTCGGCGGGATCCTGGAGGCGATGCCTTTTTTAAGGTGCGAGACTTCAACCCGGGATGAAAGTGGGCAGTTCTTGCGGGGGAAAGCTCCCGCTTTCCTAGTTGGTTTTAAGTCTTAAAATCCTTTAAAGTGCCGGCTGTCTGGGCAGCAGCTGAGCCGCGCTTTCTCTTAGTGCTTTCGTAGGGATGCCCCGTAGGCTGTTCCCTGGCACTGTTTTGGTTGGGAGAGAACAGTGATAAATAGAAGGCAGGAAAGCTTCTACCACAGATGAAGGGAGGATGGAGTGGAAAGAGAATTGTAAATTTGGAGGCCACAGTTACTGAACAAGAGAAACCCATAAAAAAAAAAAAAAATACCCGAAGCGCCGCTAGAACCACCACACCAGGCTTTGAAGCACACAGTCATACCTTTTGAGTAGGTGGGAACGATAAGGAATAGTGCGCGTGCCTGGCCGCATGGGAAACCCCCGCTTCTCCATTTGTAAGAAGCTGCCCTGCCTGGTGTCAGCGTCCTCTTTGGAGGATTTCCTGATTCATCCTCATCACAAGCCCCGTAGCTTGGTGCCTGCCAAGCAGGTCCTCAGAATAATTAAACAAAAACTCGAAAAAGTAATCTTTCCACGTTGTTGAATGCCACGACAGGCTATGTGTTGGATTCATGGAGACCTAAGTGTTTGTAGTTGGTTCCCTGTCTCACGGGCCCTTGTTTAGAACAGAACATTTCCGCCCCGGATCTCAGAGATCAGGGTTCAGCTTGCAAGTGGAGGAGGCACCTTCCAGACCTGACTCCCAGGAATACAACTTCCAGATCGTATATTCTTACCCCACTTGCTCTTCCTTTCCTCCAGGATGCACGGGGGACCAAGGGAAGGGGAAGTTTTCCCAGAAAGCTCTCTAACTCAGAATGCCCACCATCCATACTCTGGAGGACAAAGACGGCCGTTCGCCAGTGTCTGTAAGCATTTGACACGTGGGGACACGCAACGCTGCACTTCAGGGCAGCTGCTCATGGGATTTAGTTTTACTGTCCTTGTGGATACCCATGGAATGCTAGCTCGTCACCTAGATTCTATTAGAACATCAACAATGTCAGCCATCGCATCTGCCTTTTAGAAACTCGTTGTGCAGGTGAGGACTCTGAAGGTTAAGAGATTTGTTCAGAATTATTTAGCTGGTTGCGGGCAGAACTTGGACAAGGACCCTTGCAAGGTTGCTAACTCAAAATTCTAGGAAAATGCTTCCTTTTCTGCAGCTTCTCCCCCCCCCCCAAAAAAAGACAATAAATTCTTTAAAATCAAGATTACAGATTTTAAAAGTAACTTGCATTAAGACCAACCCCGAGGAATTTGATTTTGATATAGCAAGCAGTGTCAATACTATGAAAATAACTCAGTGTCTCAAGTCCCTATTTTACTTAAAACAACTCTTGGAAAAGTTCCAGTTTCATCCAAACAAGAAATGAAAACACCATATAATTTATTATAGCCATGTTGTCTCTTTGTCTTTCTTTCTATTATGTGTGTATATCAGAAAATCAATATTAACAAATATTGTACTTTAAGGATTGGGTAGCAGATTGTCTTGTTCAATAAAATACTATTTTATGATAGCATACATACCTGGCCAAAATTTACACAGGATTCCTTTGTAGGTAGGGTTGAGCTGGTCCACCAAGCATCAGAACACCATCCACTCACCTGAGCTATTCTGCCTCGTTCTCCCCTGGCAGAGCCATGGGCTCCTTCCCTCCCTTCCTCCCTCCAGTAAACTCCAGAATTCGTTGGTCCTATATCCCATGTACAGGACTGTCTCCTTGTCTTGAGAGTTGTCAAGACACATCATGACCTGGTTGTTTGCTCCTACCACACCCTATCTTCTTCAATGTCGGATTAAAATCTGCCACTCATAATCTAGTGTAATAGGCCCATGTTTGGCTTCCATTGCCCTACTAAGTACAGGACTCATCTATTGAAACCAAAAAAACTGGAATTGCTCCAACGGATCAGCCATAGAGACCCACACCAGGGATTTGAAAGCCACCTGTCCTTTCTTTCCACGTGTTAAAACGGAGAATCCTCATCTCACAGAGGAGAATAATGGAGGCAATTTTGAAATAATTTTGCAATCTCTGGAGGTACATTGCTTGACCTCAGCCTGTCTTTGTGAAATAGGGATAATACCTAAGTGACCAGTGTGAAAATTAAATGAGATAATGCAGTGTATGTCTGGCTTTTGGAAAGCATTCAGTAAGTGGTATTGATTCTTAACAATTACAGTAGAGTGTTTTAACTACTTACAAGTACCCTTATTTTAAAAACTCAAGAAACGCTGGGCCTTGGGCTTTCCTCCCCTTTGCAGGATATCTGTAGAGGTTATAAGACAGGAATTTCCCCAGTTACCTCACTACTACCCACAGAGGCGCCTGTCAGGAAGTGAATGGCCTAGAGGGTACAGACCAGTGGCAGATCCAGGAGCTCCGGTATTGGGAAGTCTGTATTATGTGAAATTTCCCTACTGTAAATCTCAGCAGTGAGCATCCTGGGGCAGAAAAGGAAGCAGGCTGATTTTCTTTTTTTCCACTCTTAATTCTGGGGGAAAAATAACTGGCTGAAAAAGGAGGAAACTTGTAGAAAATCAAAAGAGGCACTTTCCCCTTTTATAAATTCTGCTTAGGAAAAACACTAATTTCTTTAAATGCTGTTTTTTTCTGTGGCGGTAAACAAAGTAGTCACAATTTCTGCCCTGTGGAGTTTTCAAATGCTGTATCATATGTATTATAACTTTTTATTAACAAATATTACATTTATTGTATTAGGTTTAGAAAAGAATTTAAAACACCCATAATCTTACCACTCAAAATTTATTAACCATTTTTATTTTTTTTCTATTTTGTCCCTGTAAATACATTATTTTTTAAAAGACTGGAATTCAGCCCAGCTGGCATGGTTCAGTGGTTGAACATCAACCTATGAATCAGGAGGTCATGGTTCAATCCTTGGTCAGGTCACATGCCTGGGTTGTGGGCTCAATCCCCAGTGTGGGGAGTGAAGGAGGCAGCCAATCAATGATTCTCATCATTGATGTTTCTCTCTCTCTCCCTCTCCCTTCCCCTCTAAAATCAATAAAATATATTTTAAAAATAAAAGACTGGAATCCATAGTATATATATTGTTTTACAGCAATATTTACTTAATTTATCATGAACATCTCCCCATGCCATTTAATATTCTTCAATATATATAATTCCATTGTGTGAGTGTGCCTTTGGATATTATATCTCACAGTTCAACCAATCTCCTACTCTTGAGCATTGAGTTTGTTTCATTTTCTTAAAAAGATTCAGGTATTTAAACGGGCTACTTGTTTCCTTGAATGACAGGGTGCTCTGGGAATGTCTGTTGAACCACAGCACTACTGGGGGAGCCCCAGCCTTTCTTTGCTGAAGGTGATAAAGCACTAGGAATTCTTTTTTCTGGGCCCTGGTATTGCAGAGCTAAGAAAGGTAAATCCAGTTAAAGCCTGAAAACACCTGGAGGGTTGTCTTTTAATCCTTGCTTTTCTCAGGGTTTCCTGTTCTTTAACCTGAAGAAAAGGTGGTTAGGTGAGAGAAAATTGGGGGATGGGTTAGAAATCAGAGCTCCATTAGTAAAACCTCACAAAACTCCTGGTATATGTATTTCCATTTTACAGATGAGGAAAGTAAGGCTCAAAGAGGGAATTGGTCCAAGCCTGCACAGCTAGGCACAGCTTGGGTCTGAAATTTGAACTGTGTCCACCATGCTTCCCACTGTTCCTAAAAACTGATGGATATAACACCATTCTTCCCCCCTCCACCCCCCATGGGAAATTTGTTGTCAATCTTCTGGAATATATGCATTATCTGTTCTCTAAAAAAATAAAAATCTTGACTATCCAAGAATTTCTTCTGCCTTGAGTCTCCTGAGTTGGCTTACTCTTAGTCAAAAGAATATATCCTCATTTTTTGATGAGGTATTTACTTATTTGACCTCACTGTATACATTGGAAGGTCAAAGTCATAAAAGGAAGTTCTTATAAACCCTGCAGCAATTTAACAGCACTACACATAGTTCCCTTAACTTCTGGGATTTATGAAGTATGACGATATATATTTAGCAGTACGCCTATTTTTCTAGTTTAGCTCATAAACTGGTTCTGAAGGAAATTCTAGAAGAGGCTTTCCAAAATTGTTTAGAGCCATGAAGCATCACTGAAATGGGTGTATGAACCTCCCACTATGACACTTTGAAGGCAGTAACACTTACTGGAAATGTAACTTCTTGAATGTTTTGTTAAAGGCTTTTTACATAATCTAATCAAAATCAGTTTTAATCCATGGTACACGTTTAAAATAAAAATATTTTCCCATCCCCCCCACCCACTCCACTCTTGTACACCTTGTACACACACACACACACACACACACACACACACACACACACACACTACCAGTACCCTAGCCCAAGCTACCATCACCTCTTGCCTGGATTTTCTCAATAGACTCCTTTGCTCTCTTTTAAGCAGCCAAGGTGATATTGGTAGAATATCTTTGTGGTCATCCTGGCTGGTGTGGCTCAGTTCGTTGGAGTGTTGTCCTGTACACCAAAAGGTGATGGATTTGATTCCCAGTCAGAGCACATATGCAGGTTGCTGGTTCGGGGTGCATATGGGAGGCAGCCAATTGATGTGTCTCTTTCACATCAATGTTTTCCTCCCTCCCTTTCTTCCCCTCTCTAAGATACATTTATTTAAAAAATAAAAGAATCCAAATGTAATGTAATTTACTTTTTTAAAGAAAGAATATATTTGTGATCAGATTACAGCTAACCCCCCACTTCCCATGGCTTAAAACACTGCAGTCGTTTCCCTTTGCTCCTAATATTGGCTTTCTTCGTCCTCCCTTTGGCCATTAGACCTTTGTACATGCATTTTTCCTACCTAGAATGCTCTTTCCTCCCAAGTTAAAACACAGAACAAGAATCCAAGTTTCCTAACTCTCAGGCTGAGTCTCTAATGCAAGGGTACTACTGGGGACTAATAATTATCCAATAGGGAAATGTGATTCAGTGGTTCAAAAGAAGTACAATAATGGGCAAGAGTGTGGGCTTTGGAGTCAGTCCACCTCTGAGTCTGTTCTGTACTGATCATATGATCGTGGGCAACTTGCTTAACATCCTTGCCTCATTTCTTCTGTTGTATAATGAGCACAGTAATGATACCTACCTTATGAAGTTACATTATTTAAACAAGTTGACACATAGAAAGAGCTCAATACATTTTAACTTTAAAAATATATATATTTTTAGGTGTGGAACAAAATCAACCTTGTTGATTTTCTCTTGTTTTCTTCTGAAGAAAAATAGGTACAGCAAATAACTAGGAGGCCCTCCTAAGGGCAGAGAAGGCTGGTCCTAGCAGATAAGGTTTCAGAGGCTGCACTATGTAGGGAAAGACATGTGATTACGTAGTCAAAACAAGTGCCAGGCCACAGATGCTAGTGAGCTGAGATAACATGAAGCCTAAGGGATGTAAAAAATACACAAAGGGGAAAAAATTTAAAGAAATCTAAAATGGTATAAAAAATCACAACAGTAGACAAAAGACATTCTATTTATAAATGAAATCATCTTAAGCTTCTAAACTAAGGCTTGTTCTATAAAACATCTTTTCCTTGTATGGTAAACATTTTCTAGGCTACCTGAGATCCCAGAACTTGGCTTTGAGAGCTGTCATTTCTATAGCTACTTGTAAGTGCTGTGCTGTGTCCAGAGAGAAGCTACTTTACCTATAGATCTGTGACTCCAACATCAGTGAGGCAAAGCTTTTTATGTTTCTCAGTTGACTCCTCACAGAATCTTAATTAAATAAATTAAGAAAATAGCTTCACTGGCCTCATTTATTAGTGAGTTTTCAAGTAAAGAATAATGACAAAAACCATCAGTCATTACCAACAACTGAATGTTGGTCTTTTTATGCCAGTTGAGGGAGGAAGAAGGGATACTAACTAGTGTCTGACATCATCTCTCTGTGAGGTGTCAGATAAGAGAAATAGGTAAAACACCTGTTGGCAACCACAAGTTGTAAAAATTAGCAAGTAAGGTTAGCCCATATGTATTCTGTCGACTACTTAGGATTTATAAGGTGGGTAATGGCAAAGGCTCTGATGCTTGGTGATTCCTGGTGAGATGACGTGCTGAAACTCAGGTTGCTGCAATCCCTGGTCACTCAATGACAGCTGGAGCACAGAACTGCAGTGCCAAATGACCTACATTTCTTCACCTTTGGAACATAAGCAAGTATATAAAGGCCAGGCATCTATAGCTTGCCAAAACTCCCCTTCTGTTAGAAATTATTTTTAAGACCAATAGGAAAGAACCTGTGTCCTCAGCTCCAAAAACAGCTATATTAGACAAAATATTAAAAACAGACCAACTTTAGCGACATATTATGGAAAATGTTACATTTTTTAGCTCCCCAAAAGGGTAAATTTAGCAAATTTATTATGTTATATGTACTCCTCTTTGCCTAAACCTATATATTTCCTTATGCTTTGTTGCATCTCTAACTTCTCAAAAAAAGTGTGTGTGTTGGGGATAGGAGGTAGAGAAGAGCCAAAAAGGAAAAGGGAAAATGAGAAAACAATTAAAACCTTGAGAAACGCCTGAGATCTGGTCTCAACCAGCAAATTAAACCAAAAAGTAACAAATTATTCATTGAATGTCTCCTGACGCTTAAGAACTTGTGTTGGGAATTTTGAATTAAGTGAATTAACAATACTTTTAGTACTTACCATGAACTGTGCCAAGAGCAAGAGATAAAGATAAATGAAACATTGCCCTTATCGCCAAGGAACATGGCCTAGTAGGAGAGAGACCAACTCATGAATTATTAATTACAGTCCAACAAGTATAAGTGCAGGTGCAATTAATTAAGACTCACAAGGTGTTTTGGTGGGAAGGGAGTACTTAATTATGCGGAAGGAGGGGTTGAAGGTGAGAAGTTGGCAGGGATATGAGATTATGTATCTGTCATTTAGATACATAATGGAAGATATAAAGTCTGAGCAATGGTAAGAATGAATAGAATTTCAGTCAATTGAACATTGGATTGTGGTAATGGATGCACAATTATATTAAACTCACACTCATTAAATTGTATGCTAAAATGGGTGCACTTTATGGTATATAATTTATAACTTTAAAAAAGACCTGATTTTTAAAAAAGAGAATACTGGCTTTAGAAACAGATACATGTGGACAGAATCCTCATTAATAGTTGTGTGATCTTGGTCAAGTTAGTTAACCTCTCTGATCTTCATGGTCCTCATATGTAAAATAGAAATAATGATATCTAGCTTGGTACTGCTGGGAAGATTAAATGGGACTGTGTATTTAAAGTGCCTGCTACATTATCATGCTCAGCTTATGATAGTTCCCTTTCTTGTCCCAGGAATGTGTAATGAGTGTTTAATTGTTCCTGCTGTCCACCAGACACCTCTGTTCGCTGTGTCTTCTGACTTCCTTTCACTAGAACTTGACTGATTACTTTCCCATTTCTCTTATATCCTTGCTCAGCACCTTCATCAAGCATCTTACCTATACTTCCAATGGTATTTCTCTGTGCCTTTGCCCATGCTGTGATTTCTATCTGCATTATGTTTCTTATCCTTTTTCACTTAACTAATCCTTAATCATTTTTTCATTTTTTTTAGGATTTTAAAATTGTATTATATTCCATACATACTGGGAAGAATGAAGAATGATATATAAACACTGTGTATCCACTCCCAGCTTTATCACATCTTAACATTCTGCCATATTTACTTCAGAACTTTTCATGGAAACAAGTCTTTGGGTTAGTTGACTTTTTCCTCTTATTTATTTTGAGATGAGTTGTGGTGGAATAGAGACTAGAATCAAATTATATTAATTTCTGAATTATATAAATCAGTTTTTAAGTTTTAGCTTAACTTTGTTCAGCAAAAACTTCATTTTTGTTTAGCAAGATCTCCTATATGTTTTTGTCACTTCTATTTATAACACATTCAATAAAGGAGTGATAATTTTCCACAAATTCATTGAAGGGTAGGAGTGGGGGCAAATGTAGGACTAATAGCACCATCCCATGGCATAAGATTTAAATTTCTTATCTTATTGATACTTTATGTCACCTCCCCTTTCACTGATGATTTCAGTTTTGAAGCACAAATTTATTTCAGTCCATCTAAAATTATCCAAGGGGACTGCTAAAGTTATGTCAATTAGTAACATTTTCTGGAATAACTGACAGAATTATATAAAAGTCACCGAAGTACTAGAAGGCTTTTTCAGATTGTGTGTGTGTCCCGTTTTTTGTTGTTGTTAAAGTAAACTATCTATTGAACAATCAGAAAATCCTTGTCATCCTTCTCTTTAATCAGTGTTCCTTCTCTTTAGTCTATCTTCTTGTTTAAAGGATACAGGGCTCTCTTTGCTTCAGCCCTATGCATCTGGTTTGCTTTTCACTATTACATGGCCTCCCTTCAGCCACAGAACCCATTTTATAACCTGACCATTTAAATTATGTATTTTTTAAAATTTATCTTTGTGAGATCAGTTTCCCAGTGTTTGCATATTTAGCCACAGCTGCAACCTGATCAGGTAACAGAACATGGTTCTGAAGGGTTTTCAATCTCTGATTGATCCTTTTAGGAATTCTCCAGAGACTATTATTGGAAATCTTTAGAGATTGAGTCACCGTCTCCTTTCCAACTCTTCTTAGACTTTTTTCCTCTTATTCCTTCAATCCATGTCACTGTCATTTGGGCTTTTTGTTAATTTCTTCTTTTCTTGAACCTTCCTTTTGACTGGTGCTTTCATTTAGACTGCTGCTACTTTTGCATCTCCTTCTCTTTCTATTCCACTTTCTCTTCCTCTTTCCCCTTATGAAGTGGAAGCTGAAGTGGTGGTCTTCATTCTCTACCGGTATATGTTCATCAGAATATGCGTCAGGAGTCTTTGAGGAGAGTCTCCAGATGTTGGGAGCTCACTTCTGCAATCCTTTCTCTCAGTAGAGGCTTTCTCCTTGCCTGTGAGGTTAAGCCACAGCTTGTCACCCAGGTGGGGACTTGAATAGCCTTTGTAGGATGTGGCAAGAGAGAAGAAAGTGCCCCAGAGCCCAGAAGGCCACTTTCACTTCTGGAGCGAGGGCAGTGGAAGTTGTCTTCTATGACAGTATGTTTGAAAATATTGATGACATGAAAAAGTTAATAAAAACTACATGACTTACTAAAATTGACTTAAGAAGGAATAGAAGATCTGGATAGTTCTACAATCAACAAACAAATGGAATCCATAGTATAAAATCTTCCCATACCAAGCAAACAAACAAAAAACACTGGCCCAGAAACTTATAGATGAGTAATTTGCAGGAATCACTTACTGCTAGTGCTTGATATTTCCTTCTACATGGAAGGAAATGTATTGGTGTGGCATAACTGGCCTCTTTCTGGCCTTCTCACTTATCCCCAGAGGAAAAGGAACAGTTTATCCAAGTAATGAGTTTGGGAGAAAGCTTTGAATGTATGAGGCCTAGCCTCTTTGCAATGAGAAAGTACATGAGTGATCTTAGCAGTTAAGCCCCTGGCCTTACAGATTAGACCTGTCTGGGTGGGTGATCTTTCTAGATCTGGGACAGTATTAAGCAGCTTATTGTTGCCTCATACTTGAGTCCTATTATTCAAAAACTTTAACAGCAATATAGCTGATATTCTGGTCTCTATCTGTTTCTATACAATCTTAGTTACCAATTTTACAATTTTGGATTGGTGAAAAACTTTTCAAAATTTTTATGTGGAACTAAATTTAGACTGATAGAAAACTTGCCAGAATATATCCTTCACCCAGCTTCCCCTATTGTTAACATCTTCCATAACCATACTGCAATAGTCAGAAACAGGAAATTAACATTGCTATAATACTTCTAGCTAAACTGAAGACCTTATTCAAATTTGCCACTCACATCCTTTTTCTTTTTTTTTTCATAATATATTTTATAGATTTTTTAACAAAGAGGAAGGGAGAGAAATAAAGAGCCAGAAACATCGATGAGAGAGAAACATCGATTTTCCACTAACATCCTTTTCCTTTTTAAAAATATAAGTAATAATCCTGTTGATTTCTTCCTCCTTTTTTAAATCTTTATTGTTGAAAGCACTACACATGTCTCCTTTCTTCCCCCGCTCCATTGACCCCTTGGAGCCGCCCCCTGTCCCAGGCTTTCACCCCACTATTGTCTGTGTCCATGGGTTATGCATATATGCATACAAGTTCTTTGGTTGATCTCTTCCCACCTATTCCAGGATCTTTTCCAAGATGTCACATTACCTTTAGTTGTTAGTTGTCCTTAGTTCCCTGAGTCTGTAATAGTTCCTCAGTCTGTCCTTGTCTTTCACAACCTTAATTATTTTTTGAAAAGTTTATTTTGTCAAACGTCTCTCAATATAACTTGGCCTGATGTTTTTCATATTGAAGTGACGTTATATATGATAGGTAAGAATACCAGGAAATATTATATTCACACTGTATCACATCACAGTGTTCATGATATTGATAGGTATTATTATTGGTGACGTTAACCTTTATCAGTTGGTTAAGGTGGTCTCTGCCAAGTTTCTCTACGATAAAATTGCTGTTTATCCCATTGTAATTAATAAATATCTTGGGAAATATATTTTTTTAAATTTTATTGTAAAATATGCATAACATAAAATTTATCATCTTAACTATTTTTAAGTGTATAGTTCAGTGACATTAGGTACATTCATATTGTTGTGTAACCATCACCACCACCCATCTCCAGAAGTCTTTGCATTTTGCAAAACTGAAACTTTATACTCATCAAACAAAAGCTCCCCCTTCTCCCTCAGAGGAGATATTTTGAAATGGTGCAAACTTTGTATCTCCTCAAACTTTCACACACTAATTTTATCATCTCTTGATGAAGCTTTATTGTAACTGTTATTATTGTGGTATTTCATTGTAATTTTGTATTTTTCTTTTTCCTTTTATATTTATTACTTCAAATTCTACCATAAGGAAAATCTGACCCATCTCCTCCATTTATTTATTTAATTGATTACTCTTATCAGTAAGGACTCATGGATATTTATTATATTTATATATTATAATTGAATATTATAATTTTTTATTTTGCTGCTCAAATTGTTCCAGCTTTGGCACATAAGAGCTACTTTGAGTTGGCCCCTGTGTTTTGTTTTGGTTTTGAAACATGATCTTACTTTTAGGCACCGGAAGATGTTCCAGACTCATCTTAAGTATTACCTGCCCTAGCCCTGGAATCAACTTATTTCTCCAAGAAACTCTAGTTCTTTTTATTAGAGAGTGGTATTTAGAAACCACGATCTGAACACAAGCTGTGAAATTGGCTAAAGTTTCTGAAAATTTCAAGTTGATGAAAATATGGAATTCATACACTCATGGGAATTGGTACAATCAATTTGGAAAACAATTTAGCATTAGCTGGTATAGTTGTAGGTAGTTACATTCTGTAAGCCAGTAATTTCACTGGAAAAATTCTTGCAGATGTGCAACAGGAGTTGTATGCAGAATAGCACAAAACTGAAAATAACCAAAATGTCCCTCAGTAGAATCTATATATATAAAAGCCTAAGTGACCGACCATTCGACCATTTGACCAGTAGCTATGGTGCACACTGACCACCAGGGGGCAGACGCTCAACACACAAGCATGGAAACATGGAACAGACTGATGAATCTCAGAGGGAAGGGAGGAGAGGAGGCAGGAAGAGATTAACCAAAGATCTTATATGCATACTAGAGGCCCAGTGCACAGATTCGTGCACCGGTGGGGTCCCTTGGCCTGGCCTGTGGGGATTAGGCTAAAACCAGCAGTCCAACATCCCCTGAGGGGTCCTGGATTGCGAGAGGGCACAGGCCAGGCCAAGGGACCCCACCGGTGCACGAATCTGTGCACCAGGCCTCTAGTAGATGAATAAAGTGTGGTGTCTTCATAAAATGCAGTACTCTAAAGCAGTGACAACTCGTTATGTTGATTGATGAATGGATCTCAGACACATAATATCAAGCAAAAAAGGATACATTGGTATTATTACATTTGCATAAAGTCCATCAACACACAAACTAGGTATTTGTAGGGATGCACAAGTGATAAGATAATAAAACTAGAAAGAGAAGGGAACAATAACTACGAAATCCAGGATAGTGGTTAAAGATAGGGGGTAGAATGCAGTGGGCTTCAGAGGTATTGGTAATATATTTCTTAATTTGAATGGTGGGTTATTGGGCATTTTGTTTAGTTCAGACACATGTATGTCTGAAATATTCATAACGAAGAAGCAGGGGAAGGAAAAGGAGAGGGAGAGCAGCTGGAGGAAGGGAAAGAAAAGAAGAAGGGAGGGAAAGAGAAAGGGAAGAATGGAGTGAGGGGAAGAGAAAAGCACTCCTATACATGATATCTTAGATCTGAGTGGTAGTTCAGATTCTGACCCTAAGTATCAGTTTGGCTTTGGGTGAATCACTAAACTTCTCTGCACTTCACTTTTCATACCAGATAACTGGAAAAAATGCCCTTTGCCCTGTGTACAGTGTTATTTTTGCAGATAAAATGAAAGAGGTATACCTGTAGAATAGTAGCTCAAAAAAAAGCAATAAAGTGTTTCAAAATATAAAAGAAAAAGAAAGTTATACTTCACAGTGTTATTGTGAGGATAAAATGGAATGTTTATACCTATGGTATAGTACTTCAAAAAAGTAATAAAGTGTTCTAAAATATAAAGGAAAAAGAAAGTTAATACTCAAGTTATTTTGCTTCCTAACGCCAGAAACCTAGTGTATCTCAATATTTATGTATAATTTTATATTCAGTTACTGTTTAACTTACATCCTATGCATTCCTTGCTCAACTAATATATAAAGAGGAAAGCAGATACTGTGCTTATGCATTTCAAGAAGGGTGGCTTGCTCTTCTGCAAAATTCATACAAGAGTGGCTTAGCCATAGCATTTCTACAGCCTCAGGCTGTAGGACTAGGGGGCCTTTCTCACTTGAGAAGGGCAGTATTGGTGTGCTCTCTGGTGGTGGTCAGAGGGGAAAGCACATGTGAAGGGCTTGGCCATTGGGGCTCAGTTTCAGCAAACACAGTAATAATATAAATTAAGGGCTTCTATGCCTTATGATGTGACAAGTTCTGCATTCACTTTTTTATTTTCACTATCTCATTTAATTCTCATAACAATTCTGAGAAATATATCCTCATTTTACAGATGAGAATATTAGGGCCTCGGAGTTGAAGTAAATGAAGGGAGGTAGAAAAATAAACAAAGTTGGTTGTGTATTCCCTCTTCACCCCTGTAAACCTCCCCCAAGTCACTAAGCATGTCCATCTTTTAAAATTTCAGATCCCAGCCTGACACACTTCACACATGTACAGCTCTTTTTTCCCTCTTAACCTCTTTCATCACACATTTGCTATTTATGTCTGATGCACAAATCGGCTCTTTCCTGGTCTCTAACCTGTGAGTCCTGCTTATTCCTGGGCAGCATCCATACTTAACCACTGAGATTAGGAGTTGAACTATTACCAAAGGGATGGGGGGTCGGGGTGGGAGGAGTGAAAGAAAAGATTTTGTCTTTAAAGTGTAAATTATTTTTTTAAATACACAGTACTGTAGAGGATTTATATTCATAGAAAAAATGTGCTTTCAGCATGAAGTCATCAGTTCTGTAAAGGGGAAGGAAGAAAAACAATTAGTTCAAAGAGAGCATTTCCCCCCTTCTTTGGTATGCAATGGCACATACATGAACATTTCATATCGACTCAACTCAGTGGTATAATGTGATGTAATATACAGGCATGGTCTGGAGTTAGGAGACTTTGGGTCTACTTCCATGATCTATTATACTAGCTGTGTGATAAATTGCTTAAAACTGTAGTTCAAGTTATTTGTCTCTATATTTAAAATGTTAAACTATATGATTTTTAAAAACATTTTTGGCTCAGCAGTTTCAGACCCCAGGGAATACTTAAGTGCTTATTCTATGTTGGGGCCCTGGACATATGGGAGAAATATAGTCTTAGTCTTAAGAAGCATATCATTTCATAAAAATATGACTTATTTTAAGTAGTTAAATATAACATTTTTCTTTTCTCATTATTTAAGGTGAACTTGGTTCAAGACATTATAACACAATTTATAACTAACTTTTCTCCATCAATTCATGTATTCCTCTTTTTAGCCTTCAGGAAAAAAAAGTATGATATAATCATGGTCCAAGAAATCAAATCCTATTATTCAACACATCTACATGGCTTATTATTTACTTCTCACTTCCTCTTTTTTCTTCCAAAGTTACAAACTTCCACTGATACAGATTAAAATATTTCTTATGCTTTTCATTGCTATGATTATGATGGACTAGATAAGATGAATGACTCTCCCATTACAATATGACTAACTAGAACCTGGATATATTTCAAATATAATTTTAATACATTGCTGACAAACAAGAAATAAATTATATCCCCATGTGCCAAAAATAGGAAAATGAAAACAGCTAGAACTGGAATGAACAGTTTAAACAAATGTAAAGGCTGGGATTGCCTTGGGGGGGAAGTGTCAATACCAGCTACTGGGATT